TTAGAAGCTACACAAATGATTGATTTTGAATAATTAATCTAAATATCAACCTGCATTGTATTTATTCATTTAAGAAGCTTATTTATTTATATTATGTTGGTTTTGTTATAACATTATTCCAACACAATATGTAGTCGGCTTTATGAACTCATTTTTTGTTTATTCATGTTGAATGTTATTTTAGGTGTTAAGCCTATTTTACGTGGAGATTATGTCTATCCATGTTGTGTCTGTTCTACCCCTTTTCCCCTTTCAATCCTTTCATATTAAGTTTTTCGAAACATCTTTTACTCTTTACTGTATTTGTATTTTTTCACTTTGCTTGAGTTTTACTTACCTTTCAATAGGCGCTACTCTCCGAGCGCCTTTTATATCTCAATATCTCCTTTCTAATTTAGCGTTCAAAATTTGCCATATATGTATGATTGTATGTCATATTCTCATTCTATTGTACTAAAAACTGCCACTGACTTATATATTACTTGATAGTCAACATTTGAAACCTTGCTCCAATCATTCTAATTTTAATTTAATAATAATATCTTTAGGTCTCTTTATTATTATTATTATTATTTTTGTAACATAATATGTAGGTAATTATTCATTTCAGTAATCCACCATTAACTCTAAAAGCCCTTTATCTAGAACATATATTTGCATTCTTATTTGTATTCTTTTGTGTAATAGACTCAACTTATAACAGCTAGTTGTTAACTTGATGTTTCAGCTGTAGTAATTTAAAAAACTGAAAATATAGATCATATACCTAAAATATATTGCATTATTCATGAGTCTCCTTAACTTTTAAGCTTTTCCTCTATTGTTTTAGCATTCTTATATTTTAAGAAACATCTTGTCTATTAGTGCTATCTTTTATTGATAGCATACACCAAACTGCCTTGTTAGGGCATCTTGTACAAGCATTACTATGACCACTCTAAGTAGATACTAGCTTTATATTAATCTTAATTAGAATCTTTATTTTAATTGGAGTTCCTTTGATCACTTCACAAACTTTTCCAGTGCAAGTAAATGCTTTGTCATGTATATTTTTAATAATTTCTACATATGCATTTCCTTTATGCATAGAAATTAGTTCCTAGTCCATATAATCACCTATTTTGATGAGATCAATGAAAGTCATTAAATATCTTCCATGATATGTTGACTATTTTATAAATATCATTTTCTTTTTCCTTGGTGCTAGGGTATTATATAAACCATTAAAGTTATAGCTCTAGCTTTTTCAGAGTCAATAAATATTTTCTTTTCATTGTAAATCAAGAATATTTACTTTTAATTCATATCCGACTTATGATTATGTCATAATGGAGTTCTTGGGCTAATATGATATATGGAGTTTAGGACGCATCTAAGCAATTAGATTGTAATCAAGAGAGGATTACAACCTAACTCACTAAGCCAATCAATAATCCATGCAATAGAGTAATAAAAGATGTAATTATCTGCTAATGTTTGATGATATCAGGGGTTTTAAGTCCTCAAGGGTCCTTGTAAAGTTCAATTGTCCCAAAGTAAGGAGATTATTAGATTGAAACAATACACATTGCAATCTTGTGTAGATTCTTAATTAAATAAATATTAGAGATTATTTATATAAGGAGCTTTTGATGGTCACCGCCTCATTGTTGACTCCTTCTTTATATGGCTTCTTCTTCTTCCTAGATCTTTGTGAACATATTCTTTTTTAAAATGGATACTAAGGATTTTGGGAGAGTAGCATCACTTCATTGATGATAAAAAAAGGATACTAAGGACTCCCATTTATAGCCTTATGAAGTCATTGAATAAACAAAGAAAGATCTATAAAAAATAGAAATGACAACTTATCAAATGTGTGATTTTACTTGTATGATAACTGTTTAATCTTATATAATCCCAAAACATGGAAATATCTTTTCACTTGTCCTAAAGCCTTCTTAGATCATAC